ATTGCAAATTTGAGCACAGCCTGGGCATCTTAGTTTCAGATTTTAGAAGGGGGCTGTAGGTGGAGCCTAGCACAAAGGTTCAATCCTCAGAAACACACACACACACACACACACACACACACACACACACACACATTTTACTTCTCTGTGTCCCTTTAAGGAGACAGAATGTGTCTTCTTTGTAGTGTTACCAAGCTTAAGGAGTAAAATTACAGGGTACCCAGTTAAATTTGAATTTCAGATAAGCACTGAATTTCCCAGTATCAGTTTGCCCCATCTTAGATCATGTTTGGGATAATACCTGGGACATACTGATGCTGAAACAAGTTGTTTCTCATCTGAATTTACTTAACTGATGCCCTGTGTTCTGCCTGGAAGCTCTGCGGGTTCACTGCTCCAGGGCCCAGCACTGTGCTGGCACATTGCTCAGGAACAGGGGCAAAAAAAGTCACCCTCCAGGGAATTCCAGAGGAGGATAGTTGAGCCACAGCGTGGGGTAAACTGAGGCCTGGGAGGTGTGGACAGGGAGAGGCACCCCCTGAGAAGGGCTCTGCTCCCTGCCAATGCACAGCTAGAGGCGATTCCTACCCTCTATCCTTACTTACCTCCCAGTGAGCAGAGGCCTCTCGTCCTGGGCTGCTCCTTCAGCAGGAACCTGTTTCGGCCAGCGGGGCAGATCCTGTTCCATGAAAACTTCGCCACATCCTCACGTGGGGCCTGTGGACCATGCCTTGCTGCCACCAGCGGACACCAGCCTCCACAGAGAGCACCTGCAACACCGGACTCACTGTCACTACGTCCTCAGGAAGCAGGTGGCCCCTCCAGCACCCGCAGGACAGGACACCTCATGTCCAGAAGCATGAAACAGCTCCGTCCTGGCTTCATCTCCTCACATGGAAAAGCCCAGGAGTTACATCAGGTGCAGCAGATCTGTCCCCCGCCTCTGAGTGTGGAGCCTCCCAGCTGCAGCCCCAGATGGCATCGGTGAAGGATGTGGTGTCCCTCTAGGCAGGAAGGTCAACTTGGGGCTGCAGTGTGATGGCTTTTCCTGTGGGGTCCATGAGGTATGGACAAGCCTGCCCTGCCTCCACCCCCAGCCAGAGCTGAAGGGACACCTGTACTCCAAATGCAGAATAACCTGGAAAGAAACCTCTTCCTGAAGTCAGTGGTTGATCAGATTGAGTGAAGTGCATGTTAAACCATTTGTGGGAGGAGCACCACACAAGCTCACACACACACTTGCATGCACACACATCTGCACACACATCTGCACAGTGCTGCTGAACCTATTCCATTTTTCATTCGAGGCAGTGGGGTA